TATAACAAAGTGCTCAGCATTTCTTGGGGGGTTTGAACCCCCTAATCTCCCCCTTGGGTACGGCCCTGAATGTGGTTATTGACTTTTTTGAAATTCGGGCCAGATAACCGAAAAAAAAATCTGTCATCGTTTCATATATTTATTAAATTATATCTCTCAGTAGTTTGTTGAATAAACAGCGTCTAAAATTGGACGCTTTTTTAAATATGAAACTCGAAAATAATATATTTAGATAAACACTTATAACCGAGATTTATTGTGTGTTTTTATAGCTCGCAACTTCCTTGGGGACAACAAATTTAAGAAAGTTTAACGCTTCCGAATGTTTCAAAAAATAATTGGGGCTATTTTTGGCTTGGGGAATTTCCGAATCGTATAAAATCACTCATTCACTTGATATTATAAGAAAATTAGCTACAATAAAATAAAATATTGTTAACTGTTGAATAAAAGCAGTTTCAGGTGCGGAGGAAAACCCATAGCGCATCTTGTTACCTTGAATATGCAGGTAAAATGAACCGGATTTGGCATAGTTACCACTACTACCATATCATCTACTCCACGTTATGGTTAAATTACCTAATTACAATTGTAATCAAGTCATACAAACGATATTATATTCTGCATTTAAAGTACAAAAAACTGTAATAAAGTACGCAACTGTTACACTCTTAGAACATGAAGAACGAATCAATTATATCGTACTCATCACCGTTTATTGGAAAAGTAAATAAAAGACAATTTGATTATTATTGAAGTAGGTCAACAACAAAGTAAGTAAACAGCCTTGAAAAATATTAATAAAAATGTCAAATAAAAATATGTTCTGTAACTTCAATAGTTGCGTGTCAATGGTTCGGTGCCGGTCATTTGTACAGCAATGTCATATGAAATAATATTACTGTTATTAAATTTAATGCAAGGTATTTAGGTTTTTTTGACTCTTAATGGAATTACTATTGATAAAACTACGTTCGACGGCTCACAAAAATAATTTTTTGTTCAGGTCATATTTGCTAGATATATCAAAATTAAAAAAAAAATAAATAAAACAG